CAACAAAAACATTGTTATCAGACATTGATGGCGTTGGCGCCATCACGGCTCATAAGAGGCAGAGCAAGGAACGTTAGCTGAGATTGGAATTGGCCGTCTTAGGGGGCCGCTGTGGCTCTGGGTGTTGGCGTGGGCGACTCGCCCTCAAAATTTAAGCAAGTTTCAATGGACTGTAAATGAATAGAATTTACTTGGCCCACAGCTAAGTTTACGGACTGTTGTTCTCTGCCCCAAGTGCCAATGCTTGGCTCCGGTTGCGCTCTAGGCTGCTGTGGGAAAGCCAGCTGCAGTGTTCTAGCTCAAGTGGCAAAAGTAGTTTAAAATAAATAAAAGCGTGTGAGCTAAAAGACCAAGAGGCAGAAGTACGTTTTCTACAAAGCAAAAAAACTTCAGTGAACTTTCTTATGTTGGCTGAATTTTGATTTACGACCACTTAACGTTTTTTATGGCCCCAGACAACAGAGTGCGTTTGTGTTCGTCTCAGCACTAATGCCTACAGATACATAAATTGGATCCCAGCGTTTCTGTTTGGAGCACTATTTCCAGCTAGTTTTTAAGCAGGTTCTATGCTTGTGTGTGTGTGTCATGTAAGTAGTTTTTCATTTCGAGTTAAACAAAAACAAATTGCAGGCGGGTAGCATTAACTATTCCATACTCTGTTTATAGAGCTTTATTCACTATAAACAAAATCCTCTACGAAAATCACTCTAACAAACATTTCTTCGGCTTCTTAATATAATATATATTTCATAACACAAATTTCTTTTCTAGTCGTCTTCTTTTCGTTCACCGACATAATGAGGCATAAAGACCCTCTCCGAATGGCCCAAGTAGCCATTTTGTTCTCACTCAAAAACAACCGGTTCAGCGATAGCTATTCGCTTCTCTCTCTCCCTCTCTCACTTTCTCGCGCAGTTAGAGGGTACACAAACCAGAAATGAGAGGAGTGTAGTCAACACGCAAACTCAATCGGATAATATTTATACAACAACTCTATCTCTCTCACTCTAAGCCCGCTGTAACAGTAGATCGCATTTTGAATCGGGAAGCTCCTTTGCACATATCTGACAGGGAAGAGTATAATTTTGTGTGTAAATAAATTCATTCAAGATCTGATACATACGTACATTGTATATATTGTTCATTCTGCTGGAGTCGAAGTATCAATAGGATTATAACAAAAAGAAGCAAAGACAAATGAGCATATAAGGGGAAATAGTTGACATATAATATATGTATACGTAATATATGTAACAATAAGAAGTAAGCGATGACGACACTCAAGTCTTGATTCGTAAATCGATTTGCAATAATTTACACCGATATTGCTTTCTATACGTGACTAAACATATGAACAATATACGTATATTTACGTCCGTAATTAGTCCTGTCCAATATCGATAATCATATGTAGTCCTCGAATTGACGTAGCTCGACTTTAAGAGCTAGTTGCAAGGGAGTTTGTTGTCCATTTACTTTTTTGGTTTGCCGATAAGTTTTTACGAAGAAAATTAGCTAATCAATAATCTTTCAGTAGTTTTTCTCAATGTTCTTCTAATGTTTCTTCTGTATGGCTACACTGAATTGAGTATATTTACGTAAGCAGTTCATATTACAGGGTCTAAGCACAATTGGCGATTCTTAAGCTCAAGGTACTTTAATTTTTCTGCATGTTCGCAGTTGGTTGTTATACACACATATACATATATGGATGTATATTTCAGCCCAAGAAGTTACACAAAGATCGTACTAAAAACGCAAAAGTTAAAATCTCATTTCTCATGTTGGCAAAGCGAGCACAGCTGCAGCATGAAATGCGCATTAAACGGCGTGCGTGCGTGCCTTTGTGTGAGTGTGGCCCCACATACACACTAAGCATGTGTGCGTGTGTGTGAGATGCTGGAATATTTAAGAGAGCAGCAGCCGCACCTTGATTCTGCATACTTTCTAGACAGACATTCTCTTCTTATGTAATTTAAATACTTCTCGTTGCATTTTGCAGAGATTTCGCACCCAGATTCAGATGAAAATTATTTATTTACCACCGAAATATTACATTTATTGCATTTTATATCATGCAAGCGACAAACGTATCTCATAAATCGCCTGTGTTCCATTGAGAATTTTAATTCAGCTTAATCTGGATTTGAATGCTTCTGGCTATGGGAGTAAAAGAGTTAAGTTAATTCCCCAGATTAAAGTGCGAAACACACGTTAAATGATATTTATTTCAATTTTATTTATGGAAATGCAAGTATACGATACTAACGTTGCTTTCCTAATTTTAATAAGAACGATTATGCTTGTATTTCTGTATATTTTAATTGTGTGTGTGACTGTGAGCGTATGGGTAAATACACAGTAAATACGATTTATTTTCTTGTTTGCTTTTTGTTTATCCTGTTTTGTATTAAATGCGAGCACACACTGCACATTCGTGAGATAATAAATATTTTGCATTCATATTTTTACTTAGTGGCATATAATTTAAAGTTGCGGGATCTGGTTTGAGCGTTTGGTTGCGACTAACTGTATTGCATTTATTATAATTGCATAATTGATGACGACAGTAATAATATCTCGTTATGATGCACTTGCTAAGTGCCAGCAATTCACTCGCCTGGCAAATCGCCAGGAATTTCATATTTTTTTATTATATTTTCTCTTTTCTGTTTTCTGGTCAAAAACTAAACGAAATTCTAATTTACAATTTTATGTTTGGCCTTAATTTTTGGCCATGTCTATTGGGTGCAAAAGTTAATTAGTTTTCGCAAACATACAGACATACTGAATTCATTAAACTCTCCCGCTTCATTGCATTTGCTGGGTATTTCGATTATGCTGTGCACGCCTCACACAAAAATGATTCTGTCTATATTATAATCTTTATTTTTGTAATTTTCCATTTTTTTTTTGCTTCTCTTTACAATTAATATTTAATTTAATTATTAAAACAGAAACAAGCACTGGCCACGGGCACGTATGCACGCCCACATATTCAATTATTTAATTGCAACCTTTGAATAAATCGTGAAACCCACATCCCTCTGCATTTCTATATATGTGTGTGTATGTGTGTGTGTGCCAATGCTTCAATTAAATACGAATCCTTTCTACGTGAAAGTATTTAGTTATATTACATGCTTATCCTTATGCTGCTCTCGGATCTACTTGTTAATTCGTCATTTTGATTGCTGTTCCTTTGGCTTCCAGTTAAACCAATATTCGCTCTTTTGCTAATGGGCAAACGAGGACTCGTCAGCCGGAGTGACAGCCAAGGACTGCCAGCCTGCCAGCCTGCCAACTTGCCAACCTGCGTCTACTGCAACAGACCACTGACTGCAAAAGTGGTTGCCATTGTTGTGGCTGTGGCTGCCACTGCCATGTGGCTAACGTCTGTTTCGTTTGCGATGGGCTCCAGCTGCTGCCAGAGCTGCGCGCCCGTGGACGTCGCCCTCTCGGTGTGATTGGGGCTGGCCCCCTCCCCAGCAAGGGGCACCGTGGCGGGCTCGTCTCGGCGCGTTCTCAACGCCTGCGGCAGTGGTCACGACGACATGTAGGTGCACTGTGTCTTGGGCTGCGGCTCCGACAGCTCGATGGGTTGGATGGCGGCGCGCTTCCAGTAGTCGCGTACCGTCTCGACGGTCTCCAGGATGCGCAGAAAGTTGCGGCCCGCCAGCATGGCGACGTCCTCCTCGCTCCAGTTGTGATCCTCCAGCAGGGCGGCCAGCAGCTCCGGGTACTTGGAGACGTCCTCGAGGCCCAGCGGGGGCATCTCGATGCCATCGTAGCCGGCACCCAGGCCGATGTGCTGAATGCCGGCAATCGCTCGCACGTATTTAATATGCTCTATTACATCCTGCAGCCGTGCCTGACGACCGCAGGCGACGTCCTCGGGGTCGAAGGAGAGCATGATGAGACCGCCGTTCTCGGCCACCAAGCGCAATATGTCATCGGGCACGTTCCTCGTCGAGTTGCACAGCTGCCTGGCCGCCGAGTGGGAGAAGATGACGGGCGCTCGCGTCAGCTGGAGCACATCTCGCGCCGTTGCGTCCGAGCTGTGAGAGAGATCGATCATCATGCCCAGGCGATTCATTTCCCGCACAATCGCCTTGCCGAATGGTGTCAGGCCCTGCTCCAGCGTCGAGGCACTCGACCCCGCCCATGACACGTCGCAGCGATGCGTCAGGCTGAGATACCGCGCGCCCAGCGAGTAGAAGGAGCGCAGCACGCCCAGCGAGGAGCCAATTGTGTGCCCTCCCTCAATGCCGATCACCGAGGCCAGCAGGCCGCGCCGGTGCGTGGCCACGATGTCCTGCGAGGACGTCGCCAACACCGTATCTCGCGCATACATGTCAGACAGCCGCCGCACAATGTCTATCTGCTCCAGTGCCAGCTGGACGGCATCCAAGCCTTGCGCCTCGCAAGGCACGTACGCCGACCTGGAATGAAGCGCCACGAAAATATAAGTAAAATATAAATACAATACAAAACATAAATAGACTTAAGTTCTTATGGCCCCTTCCGGCAAGGGGTTGAGTAATTGAAAAACTTTTAAATTTATATGCTTAAGGAGAGGCCACCACGGAATACACAATCTCGTACGCATATAATCAATTCAGAGGAGCGGATTTTAAAGTATCCAAAGGCACGTTTCAGCTACAGCCCAATAAGACCATTGAACCTTTGACCCCTGTTTTTCAGCTAGACACTTTGCAAGTATCACGGAAATTTACCAATCTCCCGTAATCGTTCTGGATCTTGCGGTTCGAAACGCCGTCTCTAGTCGACTCGGCTTCAGCTTTCAGTTGTCGAACAGCCTGAGAAATTCCATTTGTTACCGAAATAGTTGTCTGGCTGGCAGGAAATATTTCATAATTGAAAAGTAAATTTCAAGTATTCTTCGCATCAAAATATAATAGATAAATAAATCCATATCAAATTCGACGGAATAGGCAACCACTCAATTACAGCATGTTTTGACTCTCAGATCTTATACTTTTGTAGCACAAAAACCACAACAGTGAATTTATTTAAATAGCACGCAATAAGCGGCCATCAAAATGCATCAGGTTTGGACACGCGCTGAGCTATCCACCGTCGCTAAGGAAACCCATGAAATATTTCCAAAGGACTTGCCGCAGCCGCGGCAAACCGCATTTGTGCCATCATACGAGAAGGAGCCGCCAGCGATGAGCCTGTTGCTGGGCTGGGAGTATGGTCGGCTGTGGCTGAAGGAGCACAAGCAGTCAATCGAAAAGGAGACGTCCAAGCAGAAGCCCTACTTCGTTGACTCCGACTTCAGCTGGTGGGTGAGCAAGCGCACCGTGGTGCTAGATCGTCGCCAGATCTTCACCAAGAAAAAGCAGAACCCCCATGTCAAGAACTGCAACCTGACGGCCTTCGCTCTCTCGAAAATCAATCGGCTCAAGTACAAGGAGGAAGAAGCAGCTGCCAATGGGGCTAAGGCCGCCAAGAGTCCAGATGCCCCTCCCGACGGGCAGCCGACGCAGGCCAACGCTGAGAAGGCGAAAATATGCAACTGCAAGGACTGCAAGCAACGACCCACTGGAGGCCAGGCGACTAAAAGGACAAGCCATAATCACTAGGATCGCAGGTCTACAACAACCCCTCGGTATTGAAATTAATCACGTAATTTAATATAATCGGCTGAAATGCCCAAGAGATTTCTATCTTTCTCTAACTTAGATACGAAACATTGAGATAATTTTTTAAATGAGTTTCGCGATTGTATTAAATTTTAATACCTAAATAATAACTGCTCTCTTATTGCAACCTTCATCGTCGTCGTTTACTAGTCTCATTAGTGAGTGACTCGCCCCACCGAGAATGTGCTGCACGTGCCCCGGCTCCTGCCAAGTGGCATTATTATGCAGCGCGCTTGCTAGCCATAAAAGTGGTTAACTTAAGGCGCATTTGAATTTGAAATGCAAGGATATTCGCAATAAGGAAGGCCAGTAAAAACTTCTATGGCCATGCGAATGGCCCTGTTCGTGTGAGTTGCGACGGAATTTTCAGTGGAAAATTGAACAATGACGACCACTAAAATTTAGTCGGAAAATGGCCCCGGGCTGCGCTTCAGCTGACGGAACGGGCGAGAGAGAGAGTTTTCCGTGTCAGAAGTCTACGAAATAAAATCGAGTGGATTGCCCATCAGCAGTTTTCCCAAACTGCAGCTGTCTGCTGCCTGTCATGCACCACGCCCACTCCTGCACCCCGCCCTTAGCGATTCGAATTGTTTTTGCCTCTGCTGCTGGGCCGATCCAGCCCACTCCGGCCCGGCATCCGGATAGGCATTTTGGCCGGGTGCTAAAGACTGCCTGGCAGCTGGCAGGGCCAGGTTGGCTGTTTGCCCTGCCGCCGCACAGTTTGGCTGTTGCCAAATTTTATTTTGCAGTCAAATTGTTGGCATCTCTGCATCGTGGGTAGGCGGAGAACTGGGCAACTGGGTAGGTAATTGTTATGGGTGGATGTCAAACATGCCAGAATGTTTGCTATCATCGGAGGGTACTCCGTTAAAACATCGTAAAGCAACCGAGATTCTCTTTCGCTCGAATGCCTGACCCGCAGTAGGGATACAATGATTTTAAAGGTACAAAAAATACGAAACTACAAAGAGAAGAGCAATGGATTACTAGAGTAATGAACACTCCTGAAAAGTTGAAAGCAGAGGGAAGGCAGACTTTAATTGACGGAAGGATGATTGTTATCATATTTTTCCTAAATATATTTTCTCGTGCTATATATAAGAAAGACATATTTTTGCTCTCTTCTAGAACATATAATTGAATTTAATTAGCATATCTTAGAGCTAATTGCGTAGTTGAGATTATATTATGTATGTATATATTTTACGATTATAGTCTAAATATTTATAGAATTTACACTAAATTGTCCTATGTTCATTTTAAATGATATTTTTATCTGCTATTCAGAATTTAGTACAAATAGTACAAATAGAACTTAGTAAAAAACATAAATGGAATACAAATAGAATATATGTATGTTTCATATATGTAAAGTGTCTTTGCACAGTAATCTATAGAACGCAAAAATATTCTCTGAATATTTAGACCTATTTAATATGAAATATGAAGCTAATTTAGGAAGTTTTATGTTTGCATTATTGATCGTATTTTCAAGTACAGTAGAATCCGCTTATAACAAAACTCAAGGGACCGCCAGGAAGACCCATTATCATATAAGTTTACTCATTTAAGTTATTCGGGTGACTATAATTTGCATTGTAATAACCGTACGGACGCTATAAGCTTGGTTGTTAAACTGTTGTTTCTACTGTAGTTCAATTAGTTCGTTGTGCTCAATCGGTTCTAAATGCGAGCATGTAATGTTGGCTGTCCTGCTGTGTGCTATTGCATACATATATGCATGTCGTATCATCATAATATATAATCAATTTAAACCTTTCAAAGCTGTCAATGCACGCATAGCTGCAGTATTTAAACGATAATTCATTGTGATTACATAAAGCTTGTACTAAACGCATGCGACATTGATAATGGTGTTCTCTATTACTAAATAATTACTAATATATGTATATGTATATAGCCTATTTATTTATTACGTTAAGCTATCGATGCACGGACATCTGTACTAATCTAAAGAAAGTTTTGCTTAATGATTAATCCATGATCGATCTTACCGAAGACTAGAAAGAGAATGCAACGACTAATTATGAATATAAATCTACTACAAAATTAATAAATTCGATTCATGACCGTTCTTAAATTACAATATTAAGTTTAATATTGTTTACTGGGTCCAACGCACATAATTCATACTTAAATGAATTAATTAACTAATAATAATATATATATTAAATAAGCTGAAAAAGCCCCTCTATATTTTATTAATATATATTATATTTAACATAAACACTTACCAAACTTGCACGCCGACTAGTCCCTGCTTGAGCCGTTCCATGTCCGTTTGGGCCCAGGCGGGCCGCACCCACATCGACTTGTGATCAAGGTCGTGACTGAGGTGAACCAGCTCCAGACTGCTGTGCGCATACTTGCGCACGTTCCAGGCAAAGTTGTTGTGCCCGTCGACTAGGGGCACCTCCCGCAGGATGCGCCTAACGATGCGCAGCCGTTGGGCGTGAGAGTTGCGGCTGGGCGACATGAAAAAGTGCTGGTAGGCCAAGGTGGCGGCTATGGCCAGCAGACAGATGGCGCTCACGAGAGTCAGAGCCACCATCCAGGAGCCGCGACGCGACTTGTGGGCTGCCGCGGAGCCGTTCCTTGTCTTACGGGCACTCTTCGCCTTCGCCTTCGAGGAGGAGCCGGCGGCTGCAGCTGCTTCCGCTGCCAGGGAGGTGGGCGATTTGCTGTCGAGGGCGATCCCAGCGATATCGCTGCCAACAACTACTCCGCCTGTCATCGCGCTGCCGTAGACCTTCGATTTCTGGATGCTGGCAATTTCGCCGCCGGAATCGCTGTTGGAGATCGAGTTCTGGCGCGAGAGCGTGCGCCGTATGTTCGAGTGCTCCGTCACGTCTGGCAGGCCGCCAAACCCGGTTGTCTGCAATAAAAGCGAATAGGCAAAAGGGTCGTGAGTTATTCGACTGCTCTTATTTATTGGACCTACTACTACTACTACCTGGCAGCAAAAGGCGCTGCCTCGCCCCGCCCACACTCCTCGTCTCCTCGTCTGCCCCATCTGTCGCCCGCCAAGCATCTGCTCCGAACTTGCTTCATTAAAAGTACGTCAAAGTCTCCTCGTTGATTTTACGTTCTAATTAAAACTGTTGCGAACTTTGAACTTTATGCAATATTCATAGCTGCCATGGAACATCAACAAGGCTCAATCTGAAACTTTTTAATGAATCAAGTGACCAAATCAAAATCAATGCACCCAAAGCAGTCAATCTGATACAGCTGGGCGCCGCCTGTTGTTGGGCGAATCGCAACTCTAACATCATTAAGTCTCGGCAATAATCCATATGTGACTCGCATTAATTTATTCAATCAGCCCTTTGGGGCTCAACTTTGTTAGCCCAAGCTGTCGCTGCTTTGATTATAATGTCAACCTAAAGGAATTATGAGGAACAGACTCAACTCCCATAATCATTGTAATTATCTTCGATATACAGAAATAACAAAATGATATAGGGATTATTTACCACCATGATATGCGTGATTGAATCGCATATCCTTTTTTCTGTAATTAAATGAATTTACGTAATCCCTACATATTTATTTAACTCTGCATTAATGTCGCATTAACCATATTGAGCGCGCAAAGTGTTTTTTTTTTCTCGATATGCTGTTTCTGTGGCTATCTTTTATTCATTTTTGAAATCGCTTTTCCATTTGCATCTGCGCATAATCAGTTGCACCTGGGGGCAGCCAAGCATCTGAACAATTCTTATTCAAAGGAATTTTACAGTTTTTTATTTAGATTTGCAATATATCTCTCGCAGCTCTATTTTCAGATAAACTTTGGTTTTGGTGGCTTATTTAGTTTCTTAATTTATTCCATTCCTCAGCTAACCGCTAAATATTAACATTCATGAACATTCAAATACATTGTTTATTATATTCAGCTAACTGAAATCGCACAATAAAATCCTTTTTTTAATCTCTGACCTCGTTAACCTCGTTTCGCTCACTTGAACTGCTCTGCGTTCATTGGTCTGGATTTACGTAGGAATTCTCTGCTCTGCTCATGATTAATGTATGCAGGGTATTTAAAAATGTTGAAAGTGAGCGAACATGTTTTTTTATTGGTCAGTAGAAAATTTAATTAATAAAAATATAAATGTTTGGCACGCCCAGCCGAACGCCCGATACATTTGAAACTATTTTTAATTATGAGTTGCGCCTGCATCCGACGGCGAAATTAACTTTTATTAATTCTGCCGAAACTTTCGACGTTGCAATGAAAGTAATAACAAGAAGGAAATTCTTGCATCCAGTTCTCGGCCAACGGCCGGACACCCTATACTTATCTATTCTATTTGCGGAACGGATTGCTCAAGTTAAATAAACATAAAAATATATAAACATTTATTATATATATTCGCTAAATATTGGGTAATTTAAATTTCAAGTCAAAGTTCATACAGTTAATGAACTGTTTAATGACTTTATCGATATTTATCGAAGACAGGGTAGCAATGAAATGAGCCTTGCTCAAGTTACGCCAAAAGAAGGCAAAATTATCTCAGTTTTTAATAAAAATGCAAATATTTTTCGTGCTTCACATTGCAGCGATGCGCTGCATACTCTGTATTTTTCATTCCTCTCATTAAAATGAAACTCAAGAGCTTGCTCGGTTTTTTTTTTTTCGTAGTTTCTTTTTGTTTATTATTAAAACGGGAAACATAAAAGACTTAGATGAGCAAGGGAATTCCTTATGTATATTATTCTTAATTAGCATATTTGACACGGCTACAGGGTATTTGATACTACAATTGGGTTAGCATTCTTTTCTGTTATAAGGGTGCATCATCATCATACGCGTTCAACAGTTTGAAAAGAGTCTATTAGTGCTCAACAATTTTCGATTACCAAAGCAATAGAGAATTGATTACGTTTTTCATATGCGTTTAGCGATCCAGATAAAATCGTATAGTTAAAGATTATATCTTCTTGATATCTCATAAAGGTGTGGGCGTGTAATGCGCAGTCAGTATGAAACGGTTGCCTTATTTTCCCAGCTGAATTTCATTCCCTCTGCCAATCCAAAAGTTTTCC